AGCTTGCCCACCACAATTATCTAGCAGAAAAGAGTCTAAATGAGAATTAGTTATACCTTATGTATCCAAGATCTAAAAAAATACTCTGGCATTTCTTCCCTACCACACTGTGGTATAAGTGTTTGTTTCACTCTGAACTTCAGGTTGTTTGTGCACTATCTTTCTAAATGGTCAAGGATTAATTTTGCGTCTCTGACAGAAAAGGGAAAATGTAAACTTGAGAAGCAATGTTATATATCTCTTCAAAAAATATATACATTCTTGGAAGCTGATGAAAATCAATGAAAACCATGCCTTTTATTTCTAAGCTATACTCACCTTGCCAGGAGTGAAGACACTATTGGGGTTTGGTGATAAGGCAAACAATTACTAATTTCCACTACAAGCTGGAGATAATGAGATAGGCAAGCATTTTCCCAATCAAATGTTTCTTAATTTCAACATATCTACTTTTAGAAAGCAAGTTGTTAGCTGAAAAGGTTTTGTTTTGATTAATGTCATCATTTCCATTCATTTAAAAGAGTCAGAAATGTCAAATCATTGTTACACAGGAAGTTTTGTTTCCGGCTCAAAGTGACATTTCATTTAGCAGTCTGAATAAACATATAGCTTAAAAGCCAATGGAAATCAATGGGAGGGAAAAACTCTGAAATCTGAGCAAGTGCTTCCAACTACTGAATTAAGTTTCTGTTTGTACACCAGTCATCACTCTGGGACTGTAACATCCATCTGGATTTCAGCATTTTGGAACAATTTTTAAAAACAATTCAGAACAGACATATCAAGATGAGATAAACCACTTCCTGTCTTTTCTTTAAAAACATGTATTTAAAAACCAAACAAACAAACAAAAAACAACCCGCACATAAGATAGAGAGGAGAGGCCCATGCAGGATGATGCATAAGCTGTCTTTCAACTGTGTAATTTTCCTGCTTGCCATACACAGCAGGTGAATGTTGCAGCATTGCCCGTTCTCAGATTTTTAGTGAAATAGCTCAAAATACTGTTACCAATCTTCATTAGTTGTCATAGTCACTACTGCATCTCTGGGCAAGGCCCTCAGCTGTTATTAGCAGTTAAAACAGTTTTACACTTGTTGCTCACACAGCTGTGAAGCAGAGTTGGAAGACTCAGACCTCTAGGATCTGCTAAAACCCATGACAAACAAAACCAGAGAGACTTAGATCTTGTGAATTACACTAACCACATGATTTTCAGGAGTTTACCTCAGGATTGGAGGATGCCTGGAGCAGACTATGCCAGGCTTGCAATTTTGTTAATCATGTTTCATTTCATACATCAGGACCGTCACAGAATGAATCGTTAGTACAGATCTCCTCAGGGACATAGAGCTCAGGCAGCCTTGCACTACAGGCTAAAAATCTTTCCTGGCTAATGCTCATCAGAAAATGCTTCTCCTACACAGACTGCTACATTGCTTGAAACTAAACCAGAACGTATCAGGGACGGAGGCTGTTAGCTCCAGACATGCTCACACAATGCACAGAAGATGTTGTACAAGAACACCCCCTGGTCCCACTTTCAAGGAACGCCACCCTTAACACAAGCCAGTATACAATAGCTGTAAATTAAAAACAAATAATGAAATCTACCCATGAGACAGGAAAACTGCATTGAGGATGTCAGAAAACTAGAAGAAAAATGTCCTTACCCTGCTCCTCATGTTTTCTTCACCCTATAAAATTCCTCTAACAGAGGCAAGTCCCAGTTGTGTATCAGTCCCTTGTTCTTAGATTGTGCCCAGAAAAGAGAGCTAGGCACAAAGACCCAGTTTTGCTTTTTAGGCCTCCAAACCTCTCCGAGGGCTTTGCTTGGCTTTGAATCCTTTCCTCCCACTGGCCTTCACTGCTGCCACCTCCCAGTAATTTCCTGCCTTGCTCTTGCTTCTTCTTCCATCACTGGATGCTGTCCTGACAAACAGCAAACCTTGCCAGGGCAAAGATATCGAATAATATTTGAAAGGCACCTAACTGGCCTCTGAACAAGCCCATAAGGAAGCAGAAATATTTGTTTCTACCAGCTGCCTCATTAGTGACAGGCTGAGGTGGTAACTAAACACTATACGGTAATGATGGACTTACAGGGAACTGCTTGATAGCCTGGAAATACCATGCCCATCAGCAAAGACATACAATGACATTACAAACAGACATGCTGATCTAAGATAAGACCAGTTTACACTGCTGTCACTTCTGTATCCGAACCATACTAATAATACTAATACTAGTAATACTAATAATAGGAGTGACTCAAGCCCATTTTGGTGCAAAGTCAGGCAAGCTGGCCTAACTCTCTCCCCTAGAAGAGGGCATGAGCTGAGGCCATTTTGTGCATACAAGGTGATGTTATTTGTTGGTATTCTTCAGCTGAACCATGTTAATGGGCTAACTGGGAGCTCCCAGTTTGCTCCAGCACAAAGTCAGCTGTTGCTGCTCAAATCAGATGAGCCCCTGAAGCAGAGTGGGAGCAGTGGCAGAGTGCATGAATGTGGCTCAGCGCCGGGGGAGCAGCAGATGTGAGCTGGGGTGTGGTACCAACCAGGTGGAAAATGGTATTTCCCTAAACCATCCCACTAGATCTGCAGCAGCACATCTGCCTGTGCCCTGATGTGCTCCTTCTTTCTTCTTCCTCTCCACCCCCTGCAAAAACTTTGGGGCTGAATTTCTTGTTCCACTGAACAACTATGAAGTAGATGTTCATACCCATGAAAAGAATGCATAAGATATGACCTTTCCACTGTGCTTGCTCGCTGCAGTGAAAAAAGAAAGACTCCATGAACTGTGGGATGTTAGACTTCAGATCTTATCTGGTGCTCATCCTTTCTTTGCCATTTTTCTACATCCCTTATCTAGGCTGAAGGATATGTATCTTGCTTCTTGTATATGGGACAACAAAGCAGATGGTCTCAGTCTGCAGGACAGGTGTCCACATCAGAAAACTGTCACCGTACTTGACACCTTCCCAGCCATACAGGCCAAGATCCTCCAGAAAAGAAAAAAACATACCTTGCCATTTTGCATACATTTACATTCATTTGCATGCATTCGGGTACCTACTGAGCAGAAGCACATGCCTTCCCGTTTTTAAAGTTGCACTATAGCAAAACCTCAGAAAAACTGGTGTGGAGACAACTTGTTAAGTGTTGCCTGCCTGATGCCTTCGGTATGCAAAGCACTAATAAAAGAGGCCCTTCCATGCCTAGTCCTATTCTGTTCCTGCCTTTTGTCACAGGGACGAGTCTTAATGAGGAGAAGCTGAGGAAGCAGCTCATGACAGTGCTGCCACTCCCCAGAAAGGCAATGGAAAACCTGTTTCTGCTCGATTTCCTAGTGAAAGACC